TGGGGGGTGGTTCTCTTTGGGTCCTCGGAGGGCGGGCACGTAGGCATCGGCCCATGAAGGCTTTAGGTTTGCCATTCTGCATAAACTGGTCGCGGAGATGTCGGGCCTCACGTGCTCTTTCTTCCGGATTGCTGCAATAAGTCTGGATTCTCTTGAAGGGTGTTTTTACTCAGCTTCTTTTGTGAGCCACCGGATGGTTGCTGTGGAAATTGAGAAGCTGTTCGTAGCCCTCCTACAGACCCTCGTTTCGATTTTGCAGTCGGGAATTCACATGACGAGTACGTCGAGGAAGGGTAGTTGCTGATCCTTTTCTTCTTCCTTCATGAATTGGATATCTGGGAAGATCGAGTTGGGAAGACCATGGAAGGTCTGCCGCGTGTTACTTTTGGCGATAACGAAGGTGTCATCAACGAAACGGCGCCAAAAGATCGGGAGCTGTTGGGTGAAGGCAAACTTTTCCACCTCTTGTGGGACCAATTCTGCAAGTAAATCGGAGATTGGAGAGCCCATCGAAGCTCCCTTGATTTGTTCATAGGTCGCTCCAACAAAAGTGAAGTAGGTCCTTTGGCAAAATTCGAACAACCTCATGAGGTTGCTAGATTTGCTACGTACACGTACAATCAGAAAACTTAATGTGCAATGTCACGTACCACGTCCGCTGGTCCCACCTGAGTTTGTGCGAAACCATAAACGTTTTGCTTTGCGCTACGTGATTAATAACCACGATAACAGCATAGGTAAATAATGACGCAGCATATACTACTGACGGTCTGTCAGCAGTTTGTACAGTTAAGTAGGTATTCTGCATTAGCTGATGCATACTGCCCTTGGGGCCGAGTCTGACAAGGTTTGTTCCGGAGGATTTAATGCAACTTCGCGTATTTATTTGCTAAAAAAATAAACTAGGCTGCGTGTTGTTTTGTCAAGCAGTTGTAGTTCAGAGTCGACGCAAGACGCCGCATAATGGCGAATAACCAGTAACTCAAGCGTCCTACTGAAAAAAGACAAGGGGGACTAGGTTGACCATTTTTGGGCCCTGTGCGCTGGCATTAATATCATTCAAAAAGACCAGGAGATTGAGCCCGCCTCAAGGTCCGTACCGAGCAAGGCAGATTGATATGCCTGCTTGACATTCAACATGGTCGATAATTCTTACTTACTTACTTGTACTTGTTACAGCTGTGATCATGCCTGATCTAGCCGGCGTCGATGATGTTGCGGACGGTACCTTTTCTAAGAAAGTATTTTTTTAACCACTTTGCTTTGCATGTCATTTTGAGCATGTGTCATGTTAATATTACTCTGACCCTCGTTGACGAACGTTCACTCCTGCCTTCTCGTCCTCGTTGATTAACGTTCAGCCTTGCCTTCTTACTCTCGCTGATTAACGTTAACCCCTGAACACGACGAACGTTCACTAACTGCCTATATTACTTTAACCATCCCTCATATCTTTTCAGTTCTTAAACGCCAATTGTAAGATGAATAAAGTTCAAGTCATAAAGTTTCTCTCCTCGTCTATTTGGCTCGTATGTACTGAATCTCACGACTCTATCTATTCCGATCACGACAGCATGGAAGAGCAGGATGGCATTCTGATCATGCGAAGGAAAGACCTCTTAGGGTCTAAATACACAAAAGTGCATCGGCCGTTTAGATGTAGGAGGTTCATATATTTTGGACGGTTTTCCCAAAAAAAGGCTTCAATGAGAAAAGTTGTCGACAACGTTGAGGACACTGATGACTAAATGACTTTCTGTTTTCCCCTTTTATGAAAAACCTTACAGATACGCTTCCTTGTATATTCCAAACCACTTCGCTAGGGAACACCATCCTCACGGAAATCACAGACGTACAATTAAATAACTCACAGCATTTAGGAAGGCTTCATAGTCAGCCAGCACTCCGCATGCCTCGGCGGGCACAGTGTACAGTTCAAGAAGCAGAGGATCCACATCGGCTGGGCCACCTGCGCCCAATGAGGATTCCTGCTGAATTTTCATCCGTTCGTAATTATTCCGCAAATCCAAAAGTTTTTGGAGATCACCGTTTATTTCAGTGAAAAGATTCTAAAGAAGAAAATAGTGGAAGGTAACTTCAAACAAAACAGCAAACATGCAGACACATTCACTGGGTACCATATTAGGGTGAGAACTTTCTTATCGTGCTGTAAAATTGTCTGTACGATTAAATGGAAAAAACTAGAACTATGGCATTTACTAGGCCTCCAATTATTCGATAAGGATGATACCGGGGGATCACATGCTGCTGAGCGCTGAGCTGGTATAGATGAAAACATTTAAGGGTCAAATGTAAGAATTGCTTAATAGCCGTGAGACTACGATGGGCAAACGAAGCTTACGTCCAGATACGACCAACACAAATGCGAAATTTAAGGATTTGGCAAGCTTAAAACTAATAACATTCAGTGTAGTTTTTCGGCTACTATTTAGACGCAACTGACTGAAACTCCAGTAACAGAATTTAAAAAAGGAACGCCATGTAAAATGCAAGCGCATGCAGCTGCAACGGAGAAATCGAAACCTGCCTTCATTTGCAGGGCATCGCGGTTTGCCACTGGAGTGCCTGACGTTTTAACGTGTTGCAACAGATCACTGAGAGATTGCACTCTGGCTTTTACACCTGTCAGTACGTGGGAAGTCGCCATTTGTAGCGCAGCCGTAGGTTGTTCGGTTAACGCCTCTTCAACTGCATGCTGCGCCATTCCTTGATGCTGTGAGACTTCGCTATCCTGTTAAATAATGAAAACAAACATGAACTAAGCAAGGAGGCCCAGTATCCACAGCAAGTCCGTGCAGTCTGATGATTCTTAGTAAAATGGAGGAAAACAGTCCTAAAGTATCGGTACTGGGATTATTTCGGCAAATTCGCGAGAATGGATCGGTTCAAAATCGTGAAAAAAACATAGATAGGAAAAGCCGACTTCCACGTTATGAGTGACAGCACACATAACAACTGATAGTTTACCGGTCGGACGCAAATAAGACGGCAAGTGCTCTGAGGGAGCGCTGCACCTTTAGCACTCTTCAAAAGGTTGGCTGTGTTTGAATGACATAACGACTGACGAAATGTGTAGAAGTGGAAGCCGAGCCCTTCGTTCCGACGTACTACACGAAACAGGCTTTAAAGAAGGCAGTCTCGGAGCTCAGATATGTTAGATAGGCCAGACAGCTCATACTAAAAAGAAGACGTTACAGTCTAATCAGGGATACTCGAGTAACTAATCAGAGAGATATAAAAGAACAGGAAGAGAGGTTACCCTTCAGCCTAGTTCCTGGCCACTTGGCGCGTCCAGAGGTGGCGGATAGTGAAAACGGCCTTCAGCGAAGGTTAGCTGCGAAATAAACAGGCTCCTGGATCCGGCGAAGAAGCAGTCGCCGTGAGTTGCTGTAAGTCCCAAGGACGGCACTGTGAACTGGCGATGATGAACCGCCACTAAATAAGTTTACTTACTTAGTATTTAGTTTCTTAAGCCAAAAAGCTGGGGGAGACAACCTTGAACAAACAATTCGAGCGACTGTTGTGGACTGCCTGTATTCCAAAGCTCCAAGAACCCTTATGCAAATGTCTACCTAAAGTATTACGATCTGAACTACAGCGTCCCCGAGAAACGATGCTTTCCGCAACTCTTGTCCAGTGGTACGGACGTACAGTATTCGAGCAAGAGTACTCAACCGCGAACGGCCTCATCGCATTGGATGCTGGAATGCGCGAACACTTCTGTACCTGATACCCAAGTCTAGCAGCGCACGTTTTCATCAAGACCACGTAAATATTTGCTGCCTGTCGGAATTTCGAAACTTCGAGGCAGACGACCGGGAAGGACAAAATCCTGGGAGATAATGCCCATATCACCCTTTCGGAGCATGCAAACCGTCCATTACTTGCGTGGGAAGCAACCAGTGACCAGATGGCTTACGTGCGGCCAAAAGGGTTATTAAGGAAACAGTTCTGTCGTCTCTGTGTATGCACCCTGTTCTAGTACATTTCCCTCAGAGTTAAGGCAATTATTCTTGATCCAGACGTATACTTTTGCTGATTGAGAAAGGTTTTGCAAAATGTTGTGCTCCACTTCTAAAGACAAAAAGGACGCGCGACCGGGGCGCGAACACAGTACCACCACAGTCACAAACGGACGTGTAGCCCACTGTGCCGTCGCAACAAGCTCAGCGAAGTGTTCGAAGAGCGTCATAAATTTAGCACAACCGACGCACTTAGACCAGCCGTGTTCCGGATGGCAGGTGATAGTCCAGATATTAGTCGCCAAATTTAACCGAATCGAACTAGAAGTCCAAGATATGAAAGAGCTTATACATAGGCCTTTTCTTCCGGAGGATACTACCCAAAGAGCAACTCGTAGTAGAAAGAGGGGTGTTGTGCTTAACATATCCCCAGAAAACAAGCAAGCGGTGTCTAGGATACCCGTAAAAAGTAGTCTAGTCGCGCCTCCCGAAGAGTCAAAGATTAAGAGCAAGATGCCACCGACTACCACACAAAAAGGTCGCCTTGACACGAAAGAGAAGCAGTCGAGTCCTCCCAATAAGCAAATGTCAGAGCTACGGGAAGTCACAGCTCAAGTCAAGGAAACCTGCACTTCGGTAGGGTCGAATTTGTCTCAGCGCTCTCCGAATAAAGGCACTGTTGACCGCGCGCAGAGCGTCAATAGTACGGACCATAAGCAAATCAGTCTCAATTCACCTGTCACAAGCCTTTGACTGCGTCCGCCACGATCAACTCCTGCAGGACGTGGTCTCCCTGAACGTACCGATTGGCCTCGTTCGATGGTTGGCGGCTTACATCCGTGGCCGCCACGATCGTGTCCTTTTCC